CATGTACCTGTTTGATTTTGAATTAATTTTTGACTTGTGCATTCAGAAAACTTTTACTAGTGCAAAAAATTTTACAACTCCCACATTTAATTAAACCACTCCAGAGGGCTCCACAAACCACAGTTTAAGAAGCTTTGATGCTATGATGAAGCTTTGATGCCTTTTTGTGAGCTCAGTTCTTTATTGGCTTACTTAGTCATGGACACGTTTGGGAAACCAACTGACAGCTCAAGTTCAAAGAGACTGATAAACATGATTAAGGATGTTTCTTTCTGTGGTGGTTTGAATGAAAATGTTCTCCATAGGCTCCAAGTATTTGGACATTTTGTCCCCAGTTAGTGGCACTGTCTTGGGAGGTCTTATAAAGTGTGGCTATCCTGGAAGAAGCATATCACAGGGGGTGGGCTTAAAGAGTTCTTAAGCCTTGCTGGACCTCCAGTTGCTCTCTTGCTTCCTGTGCCTGCTTGAAGATGTGAGAGCTTAGCTTAGTCCACTCCTGCTCCAGCCACCTCCAGCCACCATGCCTCCCTGCCATGATGGACTGTAATTCTCCTGGGACTGTAACTCAAATAAACTCTTCCTTTTATAAATTGCTTTGGTCAGTGTTTCTATCACAGCAACAGAACAGTAACTAATACACTTTCTTTTGGTAAGAATATTTGCATCCTAGGGCTTTCTTGTGCCATCTCTTTTCTCTGTTGGTCAGAACCACATTTTATATATTACAGCTCATTTCATTTCACTCTTTTTGTTTTTGTTTTTTAGAGACAAGGTCTTTCTGTAGACCAGGCTGGTCTTAATCTCCCAGAGATCCACCTGCCTCTGCCTCCTGAGTGCTGGAATTAAGGGTGTGTGCCACCATGCTCAGCCTTTTCACAAGAACTTTAATGCTAGTTATTTGGTAAGATTTGGGAGTCCCTCCAGTAACGTTGAAAGTTTAGTTATAAAACCACTTTTAGGGATGGGTCAGATGTCTAATGTCTTATATTTTATGTTAAATATCATGTGGGTTTCTGAAAGTAATGCTTTCTGATGCTATCCTCAAGTGCTGCAGCTGCATTACATATGTATTTATATTTAAATTAATTTACTTATTTGTATTTTTTATGTGTATGAGTATTTTGCCTGTGTGTAAGTATACCACATGTGTGTAGTACCCATGCAGGCCAGAAAAGAGTATCAGAGCCCCAGGAACTGGAGTTAGCTGTCGTATGGGTACTGGGAAATGAACCTGGATCTTCTTTAAGAGCAACAAGTGCTCTTAACTGCTGAGCCATTTCTCCAGCCCCAATACACTATATTTTGAACCTGTGAATTCCTTAAGGCACAAGGGATATTTTAAGAACCCTGTAGATAATTTAAAAAGTGTAAGGCAATAAAGGAAACAGGATTATTGACTCAGAATTTTAATCTAACAGAAACTGGTTTTCCCCAGTGAGGACTAACTGTGTGTAACCCTGTGCTACGTGCTTGAGGAATATAGAACTGGATTCTGGCTCTGCAGCTGAGAAGCAGGCTGGAACACTCTCTAAGAAAACACACTGGCCAGGACTTCACCTACCATGTCCCAGCGCCTCACGTTCTGAAATAGTTTTCATTTTCCTTATTCTTTTAAAAAAACTGAGACTAACTTGGTTAAATGAATTCTTTGCCCAGTTTCCCACTGTGATAAAATCCAGGTTCAAGTCTTGATCTGTTGGGCTCAGAAGTTCCAACTTTGCCTAGCCCTCTTCTCTGCCCCCAAAGAACCCAAATCCCCAAACAGGGCAGCACAGAAAACATCTAGGTCTAGAGAGCAAGAATATTTGTATTGCCTTTTAGCTTAATACGTGTTAACCGTCAGGTGTTTCTTACTAACCCTGGGTTGGTAAGAAAGAGCTTCTGCCTTCAGTGATGGTTCTGCTCGGGAGTTTTCATGCATTTGTTTTTCTTCAGGAGACCTAGCAAGGCACAAGAGCTAATATTTCACATCAGCTCAGACACCCTTCTTTTATAGATGGTAACAATATTGCATGGCATGAGAGGTGCACTGTGATTGGCTGTTAGCACACACAATTGCATTCCAGCTCTGATTTTCATTTCAAGCAAATTCTATTTGGGGAATATGGAGGAGCAGTGTGCTTTGCTGCAGAAAATTAGCATCCCTATTGGGAAACAGTTTTGCATCAGTTGGTACAAGGTTGGGCTGCAGTGAGTAGAGCCCCTAAAATCATAGTGGTAAAGCAAGGCAGAGATTTGTCTTTTGCATAAAAGTCCAGGCTGCAGCCCCAGAGCTGCTAAGGAACTGCATGGAGTCAGACCCAGTTTCTCTCTTAATTCTTTGATGTTGCTGGCCTTGACTATGACCTCAAGGTCTAAGATGCTTCTTCTATCCAGGCAGCAGCTGATGGGGAGGGAAGCAGATGAAGAAAGGCACCTTTTTGTGTCTTTGAAGAGGGCTGCTGGAAGGTGCTTCATGATGCATCCATCATGTTGGCCAGCAATGACCAGAATTCTGGGAACGCTTCACTCAAAGGACATATAGTCTTGATTCTAGAAGACCATCTGCTCAGTGAAAAATGAAATAAAGGAGAATGACTGTCTGGGGACAGCTAGCCGTCTGCCACCACAGTCATGGAATTTGGCCTTTGCCCTCCCAATCCTGCCTCAAACTTTGAACATCTGTACCCACTTAGTGGCCATTTGGCACTAACCCAAGACACAATGTCTTGATAGCGTTAAAAAGACATTTGTCTCAATTCAGAAATAAAGACAAAATGTAAGATATTAAAATTAATGATGTCTTGATTTCATATAAGTGAGAAGGATGGCTCTGCTTGCCATCTATCACCAAAAATATCCTTTCTGGGGCCACTAGAGAGCTGGGACTGCAGGGCAGCCTTACACATGACTACTTTTCTTACCTTTATTTTCACTGATCAAAAGTTCAAGTTGCAGTTAGAAATAGCTGCAAGTGATGGATGATACTGTATAGCAGTCCTGGATATTCCAACCAAAGATGGAAGTGGAAAATTGGGAGATTTCTTGCAAAAGGACACTTTCAGGATTGGATTAGAACTCTGCTGTCTTTCTGAGTGTCCATCACTGGGTTGTCACTGATGGCTTATGTGCCCTTTGATTTGATTGTGCATTGATTGACAGGTGTTTTTAGTCAATAATGTGTCCTGCCTCTCTTCTGTGAGGACAGAAAACACTTCCTGGTTTTCAAAATTATTTTTATTGCATTTTCTTTGCATATTATTGGGACAGTTGTTTAAACCTTCTTTGTCTTGGTTTCTTCAGCTGCAGAGAAGACAGTGGTAGCATCTGTAGTGGTCTTTCTGGTTCGTTTTCCCGTCTTCTACCTTACAAATCATGAACTTTCTTTCCTGAAGTGTTAGGTTCTACATGAATTACTGAAGATATATGGATGTGTGTATATGTATACATATGTATATATGCTTATGTATGTATAAATATTGGACCCAGCATTTAAAATAACAAATAGTATTTCTTTGCATTATGAGTGTTCTAAAATACCATTTTGCCTTCATCATCTTAGAAGCAGGTGAGTACTTTCATAGTCAGTGGGGAAAGTGGTCTTCCACATGACCTGTGTGTCTGCCTCACACTGGAAAGGCAGTCAGAGCTATGGCTTGAGGGCTTCTACTATATCTTTAACCCTAAACCAAGATCACAGGGTGTTGCCATTGAGCAATGAGTCCCTGTCAATGAACCAGGGGAATGACTTTCAAAGGGTACACCTGCATATGTTGAGTGTACACAGAGTCCCTGTCTTCTCAGCATGACTCTGTGTGTCTTGCTTCACAACGTATATGTTCATTCAATAAAAACCTCCTCTTTTCTGGTGTCCAGGAGTAAATGGAAACAGGCACCGCCAAATGCTTCTCTCTATATAGCACCCCTGTAAGAACATGAGTCCCATTCTATCCCTCAGCAGGTTTATCTGAAAACAGATGGCCCTTTGGCTGCCTCATTATCATCTTTCCACCATGGTGTAATAATTATGTAACGTCTAGTAGTCATTTGATGAATCAATACACAATCAAAACATTCCACTTTGTCTCTGAACACAGTATTTGTGACTGCTTTTTCAGCTAGTTTTTAAAGGTATCTTGGAATAGTGAGACCTTTAGCATTCTTTACTATTATTGGCCCTCTTTCATACTTTGGTGACAAAATTAACAGCCAGAAGAATTTATTCCCTTGTGTGCTTGTTCAAAAAACAATTGACAGGTTTTTTTTTTTTTTTTTTTTTTTTTTTTCTGAACGCGAGGGTGAAACTTTGCTATAATCAGACAAGTATTTATTTTAGACATGGTGATCAAGGCCAAGTAGATTGCTGGCTTAATCTAATTTTCAGTGCTCATCACTGACTTTCCTTCCCCTTTCCTTTTCATTTCTGAGTGACATCTTCACGACTGTCATCACTTGTCCTGGGACACAGATTCTGTTCACACTGGACCCTGCTTTATGTTTCAGTATTATTTTAAGTAGGATTTTCTGCATTATTGCTTATGTCACCGCTCTTAGGCTTACAAAGGTTGCTTTGAGATTTGGGGCAACCACACAACACAGTGCAGAAGAGAGGCACAAACTTGGTCAATGAGCAGTCAAACCTATGGATGGAGACAGATGACGGGCTGCTCGCTGAATGCCAGCCGTGGTAAGCTCACCAGTTGTTGTTGAATGTGGTGGGATTTCCATGGAAATCACAATTGTGTATTTTAAATCTGTCAACAAAATTGTTTTAATTACTTATTTCCTTCTGAATCCAGCAAACTCAGGGAGTATGCTGACCTATAGCTTTAGATGAGCAAATTTCTAGAACAGAATGGATAAATTAGAGATGGGTGTATGAAACTGATTTCTAAAGACATTTAAGGGGAACAGAAGTCCAAAACTGAAGGAATAAGAAGTCTTGGCTTTTAGAGCTGTGACCTAAGAATTTAAGCTATGTTCTTACAAGTATCTCTATTTCTTTTCTTTGTATCTTGCAGAGTAAAAGCCAGGGATCCGTCTTTGTCCGGATACACGCCCCATGGCAGGTGCTGGCCAGAGAAGCAGAGTTCTTGAAGATCAAAGTTCCCACCAAGAAAGTATGAACTTGTTTCTCCTGGATTCTGGCCTCCTCCCAAGGGTTGGGCGCATGCAAATGATTTGTGAGCAGGGCCAGGTGGATGTGGCTTTTGTGCAGTTGAAATCGAGCTTGTCTATCTAGGGATCCTAACTATGTGCCCATGAGGTAGATGGAACAAAGAACTGGTGCCTCTCTGTCTCTGTCTGTCAGACTTCCACCTGGGCTTTACTTTCTGGAAGCCAAACATCTCTCATATTAATTTCTCCACTACATCTCTTTTCTTGATCCTCTAGACATTCCAGAACCATCAGGCATTTCTCTGTAGTGAACATAGTAATGGGATTAGACAGCAAGCTATGCACTGAGTCAGGAGTGTGCAGGAAAAACTAGCATCAAACTTGCTGTGGGCATACCCATTCTGGTCATGGCAGTATGTCTCACTTATCTTTTCCATAAAGTATAAGGTTCTTCATCAAGTGAGTAGATTGAAGTCATGTGGGAAGTGTTTATATAATGTCTATGCCAGTGTCTTACCTGGAGGTTTCAGTTCAGTTGGTTGATATGGAATGAGGTTCTGGAACCAAGTTATGAATAAAGATCATCCGCCAGAGGTTGTGGTATGCATTTGGACAGGGTGCTTCTCAGATTAGATGGTGTGGGAGATAGTTTTCAAGTGTTAAAGTGTATTCATAATTTAAAAATCTCTTTGTGGGGGCTGGAGAGACAACTCAGCAGTTAAGAACACTGGCTGCTCTTGTAGAAGACCTGGGTTCGAGTTCAAGCAGCCACATGGTGGCTAATAACTGTTTATAACTCTAGCTCCAGGGATTCAATGCCCTCTTCTGGCCCCTGTGGGCATTGCACACATGTGGTGCACTTACTTACATGTAGGCAAAAACACTCCTACATGTAAAATAAAAATAAATGAATAAATGAATAAATAAATAAACAAATAAATAACTCCTCAGGGAATTCCTGGGTGATGTGTCTTCTTGTATAATAAAATCTAGTAAATAACTCCAAAGAGAAAGGAATAATTTGTTCACATATTCCCTAGTCTTCCCTGGTCTTTTTTAAAATTATTATTATGCAGTTTAGGGGAACGTTCTGATGCTCATCTGTGACTCTCTGAGGTATCTCTTTGGGAGCATGCTGCAGATGCTATTTATGTCAACTATGGGTGAGATCTCTCTTTCTGTCTCTGTTTACCCACCCTGCCACCCCCTGCCCATGCACATATAGTCACACACATTGTGGTTTCAGGAATGGTTGTCTATCTTTTCATAGATCATTTGCCATTCTAATTACCATTGCTGTGACTGCCCTCCCACTCCCTCACATAAGCACATCTCCATACCTGCTACCTTCTCATCTCGTCCTCATTATTGGTAGTGTTCTTGGAGACAGTGACATCATTTTGACTTGCATCGTTGGCTATGCTAACACCATCTTCCTTGCCGGAGGATCTGCTGCCTCCATCAAAAATACTAATCAAATACTGGCATGTGGCTGAGCCATCAGAAATCCCCCTACTCAGGAAGAATAAAATCTAAAGATTCTGTTCTTATAATAATTAAACTGTACTAACAAATATCTAGTAAATAAGAAACCCAGGTATGAGTATTAACTACAGTGTTTTGATAATAAAATATAAATTTGGAGGAGTTGCTAAAATAGTCACATTGTTTTATTTATTTTTTACTTATTTACTTATTTTGGACACAGGGTCTTTCTCCGTAGCTCAGACTGGCCTCAAACTCATTATGTAGGACAGGCTGGCCTCAAACTTGCAGTCCTTCTCTCTCAGCTGCCCAAGCTTTAAGATGATAGGCACATGCCACCATGCCTGGCTTCTCATACCAGTATTTTCTCCATATTGATATTCGCATCACTGTGCTTTTTTGTCTCCTAATACTACTGCACTAAATGTAAATGTCCTTTTTGTTCTGGGCTGCTTCCCCCAGCTGGCCACATAACCCAGGTCTCAGTCTTGGCTGGAATCTTCTGCTTCTTTCTTGTGGGGTCCTAACGTGGTCTTTCCTGTAACCCTTCTTTCACTTTTTTGGTCTTTTCTCTTACTCCAATATATTCTGTCCCTTTTACTTTGGTCTATTTGTATAGCTAATGTTTTAATCTCATCCTACATGTATTTTACACTCTCTTTTAATCTCTGCTGGCTGGTCTTTGGAATGAAGGTAAGAAAATCTCTACTGTCCATGGCAGAGTTTTTAAAATATTTTATTATTTTTATTTTATGTGTATGAATGTAGTGCCTGCATGTATATAAATGCATCTGTGTCATGCAATGCCCTCAAAAGTCAGAAGAGGGTGTTGGATCCTCTGAAACTAGAGTTACAGGCAGTTGTTAGTCACCGTGTGGGTGCTGGGAATTAAACCCAGGTCCTCTGCAAGAGCAGCCATTGCTCTTAACCACTGAGCCATCTGTCCAGCTCCAGCCATGGCAGAGTTTTATCATGATGATCCTCTTAGCAGGAAACTTAGTGGCACTGGAGAATTGCATACCTTCTACTCATCCCCCAGTGCATGACTGATGGGCTGTCTTCCCAGCCTTCCTTCTCTCTTGTGTTTTGTTTCCACCTTGTCCCCTTTGTTCTTTGTACACTCAGCTACTCCTCCACACCTCTTGTTGGTCTGCCACCTTCTCCTCATGCCCAGGCCCAGCCTCCAACACATCCATTTCTCACCCCTTTGCCTCTACTTTGCCTTCCATAGGTTTAGAGCCTTGTAGTATAGCTCTGCATTAATGACATACCTGTCCCAGCTCCCATACATTATCCATCTGGAACCTAACGTGTAACATAGGTAGGGCTTACACTTGAATTCATAGATGAGCAGACTTGGGCAGGCCATATTGCAGAGCATCCATCTTTGGGTTTCTGTCTTTACTTTGTATTCTGACAGCTCAAGGTGGTAGATACTACACTGGACAAGTCCCAAGAATGGACTTTGAGCCTTGGTATATATATATAT